AAAAAAGGAAAAAAAAACCCCCCCCCCCCCCCCCTCCGAACTTGGTCGGATAACTTACTAAGTACTTAAACTATATAAGCGTTTAAATACCCCTAATAACATCTCTGAAGTGAATTAAAAACCACCCAATGATTATTATACCACTTTCACTTGCCACATCATAGCCATGTAAGTGCCACAACATAGTCATGTCAGCACCACGTCATTAATTAATTTTTTATTAATTATTTTCACAATTTTTCCTTTAACACTTCTTAAAATTAATTTACACTAAGTAATTAATTACAAATGTATTTTCTAAAATTAAAATTAAAAATGTGGATCCATTTTTATTCCCCCCATACCCAGCCCCCACCCACCCCCTTCACTTCTTTCTTCTTCTCCACTATTTCTAGCTCTTGACTGTTCAATTTTTTCCTCTTCATATTTTCCAATGAGCTTCACCACATCTCCTGTTTCTCTTCCTTTCTTCGTCTTCTTCGGTGAACCAACAAATTTTTTTAGCTCCGTTAAAAATCAACAAAATTTATATGTGTGAAATTGACGTCAATAATAAGATGTTGGTGTTGGGTTTTGTGGATTACTAAAGAGATGGTGAAATTGAAGTAGTTGTTAGAGTTGAAGATGAAGATGGAGGAAAAAAAATATGCTTGGAGAAGAAACTTATTGGGGAAGACAATAAAATGAAGAGAAAAAAATTAATAGTTTTGTGAGCCAATAAGAAAATTCATATAATTTAATAAAAGTTAATATATTAAGAAAATAATATTTAAAACATTAATTATATATTGACCTATAAAAAAATGACACGTATGATTTTATAATTTTTTTTCCTTTTTTAACTCTTTCACACGCTATTAGGTGAGTGCACTCACTCTCTTTGTCACGTCATCTCTTAGGGTCGCATTTAGTTCACTTCAAAGATGTTAAAGGGAGTATTTGAACACCCGTATAATATAAGTACTAAAGTAAATTATTCGTTAATACATAGTATGATGTGTGTATCCATCTTACACACAATGTATTGTGTGTACATATACATTACCACAAAATATATGTATGTGGACATCTATTTTACAATAATTAAAAATTTTCTTCAGTAAATTTATAAATTTATTGAGATCAATGGAAGCTCTGATACCATTATTATGACATCGAAGAAACTAAATTTTTTTGAAAAAGAATGAATGATAAATTTTTGTACTAATTCTTGTATTAATTATATATATATATATATATATTATATATTATATTTTTATTATTATAGAAAAGTTATTTAAAATTCTATAAAGTTTAAAATATCTATGTAAATGTGATTATATTTTTTAAAGGGAAAAACATTATATAACTAGGATAAAATTGAATAGTTAGTTATACTTATGTTGCATGACTATAGTTTTAATTAACTATGTAAAATGATTATTGTTTAATAAAATAGTTAAGCTGAGTCTCATTTTTTTGTATTAGATTGTGTATAATAACTTTTTCTCCTTTTATACAAACATACACACTACCTCTACTACCACACCCACTTAATTTGCTTCTTAAATCTCTCAATCCTCATAAATTTCTTAACTGAATCAAAATTCAAATTTTGAATCAACCCTTCTAATTCTGCAAAATAAAATAAAGTGGATAACTTAAAATATCGATGTATCTATGGCTATATTTTCTCAAGTTATAACTCATTTGTTTTATGATATCTCTAGAAGTAGTTCTTTTGACACAAATAAATAACACTATCTCATTCTTCAATTCACCTTTGACTAAGTTTTCTCTCCTCTCATCTCTTGTATCACCAGTAAATTCTTCTCCCTTTCTTGTCTTTCCTTATTTATTTTTTTCATATTTAGTTCTTATGATTTCATATATGATATTTGTGCTATCTTTTAATAGATGTATTGTTTTTATCCAAACTCTCCATCTGTGTCTAAATTTATTTTTCGTTGTAAGATCTTTCTTTTTTATTCTCCAATAAACGAATTATGTTGACAATTATGAGTGTCTCATCAAGTTGAAATATAATGCTAACAAGACACCTAAAGTTAACATTGTTAGATAAGAATTATAAAAACAAATTCACGCCTGATGCAATTTAAATAATACTTGAATGTGTGAAATTCACATATAATACTTATATACATTTAAAATGTATTAGTTATGTATTCATTACGTTCATTGAAACATACTCATAATATATATAATATATTGAATTCAAAATGTATTGTTATTATCGTTTACTTTTTTTTAATCTTATTAACAATGTTAAAATTATATTATACCTGAATTTTTTTAAAACATTTAAAAAAGATTTAAATTAATTTATGTGTTATTATATTAAAACTATATCAAAAATATATTATATATGTACTAGTAAAATTATCCATGCTTCGCGAGGAAATTTGATATCACAAAATTTATAAAATAATACTTAAAACCTATCGGTCATTAAAACTAAACCAATATGTTGTCTTACATACAAGATTACGTAGTAACGAACATTAATAATATAAAGGAAAATGATAATTATAACATCTTATCATTTATCCTTCAATCAATCATCTTTAATTTGATTTTATAATTTATCCTTTTGCCTCTAGAAAGTGTTACTATTTGATATTTTTGGAAAATTAGATGAACATCAACATGAGATATTAAATATTCTAATAAATCAATAATCTTTATATGTACTAACAAATACTTATAACAATAAGTTTACATAAACATAAACGACAAAATTTAAAACATGTACTCAAAAACAACAATTAATATCATAAGCATAAATTAATAACTGTAAAAAATATACCGGGATCTATAACAATTGAGTGAAACAGAAAGGAAAAAATTGAGCCCACTGAATGCATAATTTCCCCTTAAGAAAATTATTCCCCTCTAGTATCCGAGGTTTAAAGGAATAGATCCTCTCAGGATGGAATGATTCTATTCACAAGTGTATTGATACAAAAATAATGGTGTCAGTGAGCCACTCAACATGAGCAAAATACACGAATATTTAATTGTGAAAAAAAAGAAGAAGAAGTTTAGAATTTTCGTTGTTTGAAAATGAGAGGAAATCTCTCTATTTATAGACAAAAAGGATAGTGTGAACAAATGTTTATTGTGCCTTATTGGAAATGTCATAACTCTTTGGAAAAATTACAACCTTTCAGAAAGGTCACAACATTTCATAAAAGTCATTTCATAAAAGTCATTATTTTTCATAAAAGTCACAACTCTTTATTAAAGTCACATCTTTTCATGAAAGGGGAAGGATATTTTTGGAAATAAATAAATTTAAAAGGAAATTCTTGCTTGTGGTGATGCCACGTAGACGGGCCTAGGGTTCTCTTTTATATAAATATATGATATATGATTTAACTATTTTTATAAGACAAATAAGACTAATATGTGTATAAAAGTAAAAAAAATGTGCTATTAACTCATAAATTGGCCTGTTTTGTGTACTTCTCCCCAAAAAGATTCGAAGCACAAAAATAACATTTTCAAGTCGGATTCGGGTCTTGGATTCAGTCGGGTCAATCGTCTTCTAGGGTTTTGTTGGTCTGCGGGGTTTTACCAGCACATGACCGACTTCCTAGCTCCATCTTCAAAAAAACTCATCAATGTAGACAAAAAGTGTCTGCCTGAATCTCTCTTATTCTCTTTATGCTGTATTTTAGGTTTCTTGGTATTATATACTGGAAATGTTATGGAAATGGTTCTCCATTGGAAGAATAGCTTCACATCGAATGCTCAAAATGGAATCTTTGGCCTCATTTCGAAGTCTATGCTCACAAATTCAATGTTTTGCTGATACCCCACAAGGTTCTTTTTCCTCTAGACATTACCAGAAGTTTCCTGAAAATCCCAGAATCATATTAACCCCTAGAATTGTACATACTACTTTATCAAATTGCCGTTCTGACATTCTTGCTTTTTCGTTTTTCTTGTGGTGTGCAAGGCAACCTAATTACTTTCATGATAGGGGCATATTGACCCTTATAGTTAGTATTGTGTCTCGGTTGACGCAGAGGTTTAGAACAGTGAAAGGGATTATTAAGGGATTAGAGGAGGTTGGTTGTGTAATAAAGCCACAAACTTTGTTGTTTTTATTGAGAATTTACTGGTTTGGTGGAATGTATGATAGAGTTTTCGAGGCATTTGAGGAAATACTTAGATATGGTTATACACCAAATACTTTTTCTAGGAATATTGTAATGGATGTATTGTTCAAGATTGAGCGTGTCGAAGTGGCACTTAGAGTTTTGAAAGAAACCGAGATTCCAAATTTTTTGTCGTATAGCATTGCTGTGTGCAACTTGTGTAAGCTCAATGATTTGGTTAATCTTCAGGATGTACTTATGATTATGTTGAGAAAAAGGTACTATCCTAATGAGGAGACATTTTTTGTGATTTTGAATTGTTATTGTAAAGGAGGTTGCATAGCAGAAGCAAAACAGATATTGGGTGTGATGATTGTTTTGGGTGTTCGTATATGTGAGAGAGTTTGGAGTATATTAATAGATGTTCACTGTAAAGCTGGGAACATGGATGCTGCAAGTCATTTGCTTAAAAAGATGGTAGAGAGTGGGTATTCACCAAACGTTGTAACTTGCACATCATTGATCAAGGGATTTTTTGAGTCCCAGATGCCAAGCAAGGCATTTGGGATCTTGGATACCATGGAATCAAAAGGATGCTCCCCTGATTTGGTTCTTTGTAATGTGTTAATAGACTGCCTCTCTAAAATGGGGAGGTATGAAGATGCAATTAATGCTTTCTTCCTTTTGCGGGAGCAAAGACTAATACCCGATTCTTATACTCTTTGTTCTTTGATTACAACTGTTTGTCTCTCTAAGCAATTCGTTGAACTACCTTTGCTCATAACTGGCTTCAAGATCCAACCTGATTTAGTTGCTTGTAACTCTTTCCTTAGCTATTTCTGCAAAGCTGGTTATCCTGCTGGTGCCATTGAATTTTACAATGACATGATAGATAGAGGTTTTGTAGCAGATAAGTATACCTTTGCTGGATTATTGACTGGATTATGCAGGTCAGGTAGGATAGGAGAGGCAGTCAAGGTGTACCATGGACTTATTAGAAGTCACATTGGGCTTGATTCTCACATAATTACTGTGATAATAAATGGGCTAATAAAATCTGGAAAATTTCACAAAGCTATTAGCTTAATCACGAAAGCCGCTTCAGGGAAGCCCCAACTCGATGATGTTTCTTACACTATTGCCATTAGTGGACTTCTTACTGGTGGTGAAGTTGGAGAAGCTTATGCCTTGTTCCGCCAAATGAAGGAGGTTGGTCTTGCCCCAAGTAAACAGACCTATAATCTGATTCTCTCGGGTTTCTGTAAAAGAAGTGATGTTAGCATGGTTGAAGAGATCTTACTTGAAATGGTTAATGCTAGTGTTGAAGTTGACCATTTAAGTCTGAGGTTTATGAAAAATCTCCTGTATAGATCCCGCCATTCTGCTTCACTCTTTACTCTATTGACTGATGTTTCAACTTCCGAAATCCTTTCAAGGGAAGCATATGAAGAATTGATCGATGAGCTAGTTCATCAGGTAAACATAAGCAATGTGCACACAGACAGGTCTACTAGCGTTGATTTTGGCACATCCAGCTCAGATGAAATCCAAGAGGTGGCTGTTTCAGTTGGTTGAGATGATTTGACTTGACAGCTTATTCTGTCTATGGCAAAGTTCTGTAGTTGAGTTCATCAAGAATCTGACCTTACTCTCTCTCGGAAACCCTAAGATGATCATATGATCTTAAGAGTGAATTGATTCCCTAAAGGTACCATCCAAACTCCAAATAACTAACAAACATTTTCAAATAGACTGCTCTTCTATCATGCAACTTGTTTTAGCCATTTGTTTTCTTTACGACGTTTTTTCCTTTCCCCCTTTTTGGGGTCAGCTGATTTTGTCCTAAATGAGTGGTCACTGTTTATAGAATTTTTTTTTGGGGGGGGGGGGGGGGCGCC